ATGCCGCGCCGGGATCTCCAGGGCCCGCCCCACCGCCGCCCACGGCATGGCCGCCCGCACCCGCTCCACCGCGCTGCGCGCCGCGGCGGCCTCCGCCCTGGCGCTGGCCCTCCTCGGCTGCGGCCCTGGCTTCCTGGCGGCGCCCGCCCGACGCGCCCCCCCCCAGGGCCCCGGGCATCGAAGAAGAGAAGTCGCCATAAAGAGAAACGTTTGGCGCTCCGCGCGGATTTCTTGGATCTGCGCTGGAGCGCCCTGGCGGCGCCTCCGGCGCCGCCACCGGCGCGCTCCGCGCGCCAGGGAGGGGGGCGTCCAGCGCAGATCCAGGAAATCCGCGCGGAGCGCCAAAAGTCAAGGGAGGAAAAACCACCCGGACCGGACAACTGGCGTTTACTAACGGCCCTGGGCGTTTGCTAAACAGCCCTGTCCTGTTTGACTCCTTCTGTGGGTGCGTTTACGAAACGGCCTCGCGTGTCGGGGGGGGGGTACTATCGGGGTGGACTTTCTGCCCTCTGGAAAGTTTATGCTTCTGCCGTTTTGCTTTTCTTCTAGGGCAGCCCCTGGCGGTGGCCGCCGGCGCCACGCTCCTGGCCGCCACGCCCCTGCCGGCCCACGCCGGCGGCATGTTCGACTTCGGCCTCACCCTGCCCTGCGCGGCGACGCGCAAGACGTGGCCCTTGGCATCCATCGCCAGGAGGAGGAGGAGGAGGAGGAGGAGGAGGAGGAGGAGGAGGAGGAGGAGGAGGAGGAGGAGGAGGAGGAGGAGGAGGAGTAGGAGAAGGAGGAGGCGGAGGAGGAGGAGGAGGAGGAGGAGGAAGAAAAGGTACCCATACAGTTGATGGACAAAATTCTGCACCGCCCGCGCAATCGGGGCGACGGCGCAAACTTCAACGCGCCCCCTGCCCCCGGTTCAATGTTGATTGGCTGCGCCCACGGGGTGCAGGATTTTGGCCAGTCGGCAGATCGACAAATCGCGCCACAGCCTGCCAATACTCAATTGGGGGCGCGGAGGCGAAAACAAAAATCGAAAAATAAGGTGCAGGATTTTGTCCATCAACCGTACCTCTACCCTTCGCCCGTTTTCGTCTTCTTCGGCCTCCTGGGAGGCCCTCGTCGCCACCGCTGGATTCGCCTCGAAATTCCTGAGATCTTGGCGCGGCACTTTTTTCATCACGGGCGTTTTCGCTTGGTTTCGGGCCCGGGGGCCCTCGCAGAGCGATCTGGCTCGAAAAGCGACGCAGAAAGAAGGGGCCTGGGGCTCTGGTCGTGATTTTTTGTGCAACGTTGCGATTGTTTGGCAACGTCGGATCTCAGGGTATGTCCACGTCACATCCACCGCTTCGGAGTCGTGCCCTGAGGTCACGTGGAGCGGTGGATATATGGACATCTGCCCGCACGAGTAGGCGGGGAGACATCCAGATCCACCGCTCCACGAGTCCTGGGAACACGACCCAGCGGCAGTGGATATGGCCATATTCTGGCGGCGCACTTCGCCGGAGTGGCCCTCGGTGCGCGGCTTCGGGGGGCGCGGGAGGTGCAGCCCAGGGCGCAGGCCGCTGCTGCAGCAGCCGCAGGCGTGCGCATCGATCGGCGAGCCGTGCTCCACAGGTCACTTCCTCTTGCCTGGGGCCACTCGTGCGCGTAGCCGACCTTCGTGGCCATCACGTTCCTCACCATGATGGCCACCCTCAACGCCCTGTGGCTCTCTGGGGTTGAAAGGACGCCTACCCAGACGAGTCGACCGCGGAAGCCTGCACTGGTTCACTCGACGCTGGCATTCGAGTGGGCCGGTGCAGTCCCCAGTCGGCTTCGCTGATCGGCGTGCGTTTCGCTGGATGTGTTCGGTTGTGCTTGGACATCGGTTCGCTACCCCGCTGAGACGCACTCGGGGTGCGGTGCCGTGCGTACGTGGACTGCCCCCGGCAGCTCTCCGAGAATGGCGTTTTGCTGAAGGGGGTTCCGTCCACCACCGAGGTACGCGCCAGTCGGCGACGAAATGGAGGACAGGAACGCCAAGCTGCTTGAGACCCTGTCCTTGGCGACCGACAAGCTCACCAAGGCGGACGCGATCCAGGTGGAGTACACCGAGAAGATCCGCGAGGCCCGCGAGAAGGCCTCGGCGGCGGTCTCGGACTACCGCAAGGATCGGCGGCGAGCGAGGGGGGGAAGCGAGAAGGAGAAGGGCTTCTCAGAGGTTGGCGGGACTTCTCAGAAGCCCTCGCGCCTCCTGAGAGGTTGTCCGTGCCTTCGGGGAAGGCTCGGAACACTTCTCAGACGGCTGGGGGACTGCCGAGCCTTCTGAGGGAAATCGAAAGGTACCGATACCGCTACTCCCTGGACCTCTCCTGGGGTGCGTTCTGACCAGAATTTCGAGGCGAAACCAGCGGTGGCGACGAGGGCCCCCGGAGGCCCAAAAAGGGAAAACGGGCGAAGGGTGGAGGTATAGGGGCACCTGTTCCTCCTCTGACCCGCGCTCGCCGCCCGAGAGGAGATCGAGAAGGGGATCAAGGCGAAGCTCGCCGCCGCGACGTCCCAGAGGGCGGCCCAGGCCTCCGCCCTCCAGGCCAAGCTGGAGGCCGAGGTGAAGGCGAAGATGGACGCCGCCGAGCCGGAGATCGAGCAGCGCAAGGCGGCGTTCGTGAAGGACTGGGGGCCAGTGGGGATTGGGGGGCAAGGGCGAGGAGGAGGAGGGCCTTCTCAGGAGGCGGCGGAACTTCTCAGCAGCCCTCGCGCCTCCTGAGGGTTTCTCCGTGTCTCTGCGGGGAAGGCTCCGAAGGCCTCTGGGGAGGCCGGGGGACTTCCGAGCCTTCTGAGAAGGCCTTCTCTTTTCGGGGAAACGTAAGACTCGAGTAAACCAGAACTCGGGTTTGCCGACGTTTTTGGACGAGCGCGTCTTGGATTTTGACGGTCCAGTTTTCGTGGGATGTTTGCAGCGGGAGGTCGCGTCACATTTCAGATCGGGCCTCGTCGTTTTTATGATGGCCCCGTCAGGCCAGCCCGAGTCCCCGTGCCCGAGTCCGACGTCTCCCCGATCCTTCTCGCTTCCCCTCCCCGCTCGCCGCCACGAGGAGACGCTGGCCTCCTGCTCGCTGGCGTGAGCCCACGCCGCCCGGACTGGGCGCCGGAGCAGCGGGGGTCGGAGGGCCGCGCCGCGTCACAGACGCGTCGGCGATGCGGTGCGACTCCGGGCCCGACTTGCTCGGGGCCCGTTTCGACCCGATCGATCCGATGATGATGATGATGATGATGATGATGATGATGATGATGATGATGATGATGATGATGATGATGATGATGATGATGATGATGATGATGATGATGATGATGATGATGATGATGATGATGATGATGATGATGATGATGATGATGATGATGTGATCATGATGATCATGATGATCATGATGATCATGATGATGATGATGATCTGATGATCATGATGATGCTGATGCTGATGATGGATGCTGATGCTGATGCTGATGCTGATGATGCGGATGCGGATGCTGATGCTGATGCTGATGCGGATGCGGATGCGGCTGATGCTGATGATGATGGCTGATGCTGATGCGGATGCTGATGCTGATGCTGATGCTGATGCTGATGCTGATGATGCTGATGATGATGTGATGATGGTGATGATTGTGATGATGCTAATGATGATGATGATGCTGATGCTGATGTTGATGTTGATGATGATGATGATGATGATGATGATGATGATGATGAGGATGATGATGCTGAAGATGATGATGCTGATGATGATGATGATGAGGAGGAGGAGGATGAGGATGATGCTGATGCTGATGATGATGATGATGATGATGATGCTGATGCTGATGATGCTGATGATGAGGAGGAGGAGGATGCTGATGATGATGATGATGATGATGAGGAGGAGGAGGAGGAGGAGGAGGAGGAGGAGGAGATAGGAGGAGATAGGAGGAGGAGGAGGAGGAGGAGGAGGAGGAGGAGGAGGAGGAGAAGGAGGAGGAGGAGGAGGTAGGAGGAGGTAGGAGGAGGTAGGAGGAGGAGGAGGAGGAGGAGGAGGAGGAGGAGGAGGAGGTATAATACACCGATTCTGGTTGGCTCGACCCGATTCGATTCCGATCTTCTGACGGCCCGCTGAGTTCCGATGCCTGCACGGTGCTGCTTGTGCATCCTGGCGCGGCCGATCCGCTTCGGGGTGCTGGCGCAGCCGGGTCCGACCAGCACGTTCCGAGTCGATATCCGAGTTCCCCGACTAGAAATTCCGACTGATATCCTGATTCCTCCCTCCCGACGCCGCCGATGCATCTCCAATGCAGCGGCGTTTCGGCGCGATCCTCTGGCCTTCCACGGGCGGCTTTCTGGTTGACCCTTAAGGGGGTCCAGTTACAAGAGGGTGGTGCAATAGATCTGGTGCAATAGATTTATGGGTTGCAATAGGTTTGGGGCGTGCAATAAACTCCTGGGCGCAAGTGTCTTGCTGATCTTTCGCGTGCCATGCATTAGTTGCAACACAGTGCAGTACAATTCTCCAGCGCAGTACATTTGCAGCACCTTTGCCCCAAATCTATTGCACCGCCCCCTTTCCGCGGGACCCCCTTTTTGGGTCAACGCAAGGCCTGCCTGAGGGGGGGAGGGCCGGCCGCGGTGCCTTTTTGATAAAATGGCCTGCGTCGTCGTCTCTGCTCTGGGCGCGGCGGCGCGGAGAGGCACAGAAGCCGGCGCAGTGGGAGCGCGGGGAGGCTGTTGCTGTCGGAGGTTGCTCCGGAGGAGGAGGGAGGAGGAGGAGGAGGAGGAGGAGGAGGCTGCTGGAGGAGGAGGGAGGAGGAGGAGGAGGAGGAGGAGGCGGAGGCTGCTGGAGGAGGAGGAAGAGGAGGAGGAGGAGGAGGAGGAGGAGGAGGAGGAGGAGGAGGAGGAGGAGAAGGGGGAGGAGGGGGAGCAGGAGGAGAAGGAGGAGGAGGAGGAGGGAGGAGGAGGAGCAGCAGGAGGAAGAGGAGGGGGGATGAGGGCGAGGGCGATGCCGATGTCGATGAAGGTGATGGTGATTGGTGATGATGGCTGATGGCGACGACGACTGATGGCGATCATGAATTTGGTTCTGACGGCTGATAGTTGGTACAGTTGGTGATTGGCGATGTTGATGCTGATGTTGTTGTTGTTGTTGTTGTTGTTGTTGTTGATGCTGCTGCTGCTGATGATGATGATGATGTTGTCGACGATCATGGCGATCATGGTAATGGTGATGGCGAGGAGGACGATAATGATGAGGACGGGCACATCGATGTTGATGATTATGGCGACGCTGATGGCGATGCTGGTGATAGTGATGATGATGATGATGATGCTGGTGGTGATGATGATGATGATGCTGATGATGATAATGATGATGATGATGATGATGATGATGATGATGAGGAGGATGATGGCTACTATGATTATGATGATGATGAGGAGGATGAGGAGGATGAGGAGGATGAGGATAAGGACGATGACGACGATGCTGATGATGTTGTTGATGATGATGATGCTGATGATGATAATGATGTTTATGCTGATGATGATGATGATGATGATGATGATGATGATGATGATGCTGATGATGATGATTATGATGATTATGCATATGATGATATCCACATTGATGGCCACGATTACGACACATCTGCGATTTCGTATACATCGGTACAGCTATTCACGTGCATGTGCACTCCCGATTTGAAGGATCACGTCGCTTGTCTTCAATCTTGGCGATATACCACTCGAGGTTGAGCTGGCGCGGGGACCATGGCAAGGTGGCACGTTAAGCACCGAGACAGTGATGGCACGCCCGGGAGAGGTGGGTGCAGCGCAATCCGAAGTGCGAGGTGAGCGGAGCAATGACATAGCCGAAGGTGGGACGGGTCGGGGTTAGGACGGACATAGAATTATGATGTTCCAATTTACTCTAGCCTTAACCACCAGAAAGAAATTTCGAGCACCAGGAAAGTACCATAATTGGAGGGTTTCCACGTGTCGGGCCCTGGGAGACCCTCGTCCGGCACTGTTTCGACACTTTTCTGGGTGCTCGAAATTATTTCTGGGATGTGGTCCTTGAGTACGATGGGAGTAACATAAACATAAAACAGAAATGAAGAGCGGGGTCGGTGAGGTCACGGGCGAAGCAGAAGACAGATGGCTTGGGCACGATGCGGGGCAAAAGGGATGCAAAGTCGTGGCGCGCTGAAGCCAGAGGCGTGGATGTCAGGTTAGGCCGTCGCAGGAGATGTTGCCGGGTATAACAGCGTATTCTGCCAGCGCGCCAATCGAGCAGGGCCCGTCCCTCTGGCCCATGCTCAACCGTACCAGGGCCTGTCCAGATTTGGAGTCCTCTTCCTCTTCCTCCTCCTCATCGTCCTCCTTCCCTGGGGTCTGCAGTTTCTCTAGAGGCCTCATGGGGGCGTCCCCAGATCTCTCAGGAGATCCCTGGAGGCCTCCAGAGGCCTGCGTGAGCGGGAAAAGGGTCCGGCCAACCCGCGTAAAGAAGGATGAGCAGGTTGCCAAGGCTACCCTCGCATCCTTCCCCACTCGGCCCATCTGTGGCCGCTTTCGCTGGCCGCGCCCCGCTCGCAAAGTGCATGGCCTTCATCCTTATCGTGCGTCCTCATTATACGGCTTGACTGTAAGAACGTTCAAGAGGAGGAGGAGGAGGAGGAGGAGGAGGAGGAGGAGGAGGAGGAGGAGGAGGGGGAGGGGGAGGGGGGAGGAGGAGGAGGAGGAGGAGCCCTCCTCGGCCCTCCTCCCCCCGCCCTGCTCCTCCTGCATCCTGGAAGCGGGGGGTGCGGCCGATCGACGCCACCAGCACGGCGGGGCGAGTGCGACGGAGAACCAGATGAGGAGGAGGGGGAGGAGGAGGAGGGGGAGGAGGAGGAGGAGGAGGAGGAGGAGGAGGAGGAGGAGGACGAGGAGGAGGAGGAGGAGGAGAGGAGGAGAGGAGGAAGAGGAGGAGGAGGAAAGGGAGGAGAGAGGAGGTGGAGGAGGAGGAGAGGAGGAGGACGGGGAGGAGGAGGAGGAGGAGAGGAGGAGGAGGAGGAGGAGGAGGAGGAGGGGGAGGAGGAGAAGCAAGTCGTTCCAGCCGCAGCTTACCCTGCGTCCGCTCCACGGGTCGCCACGGTGCGTCTCGGCAGCCTCGACACATCTTCGTCCGGGATGGATCCGCGAAGGCGAGCGGGACGATCGCTGCGGACGTGGCATTTCTTTTGGACCCTCTGCGGAGCGTATTGGGGCTCTCGTGGGCCCTCCTAGAGCCATCTTGGAACGCCTCGGGCCGCCATGGGGCCCCTCGAGACTGTTCTGGGGCTTCTCGTGGGGCCGTCTTACGTAGGACCGCACTGGCCCTCCTGTGGCCTTTCTTCAGATGTCTCGGATTCCTGTCGGGGGGTCTTGGTTGGGACAGTTTTGGTCCTTTTCGGTGGTTTTCTGGGAGCCCCTTGTGGTGCCCGTTTGGTTTACATTGAGGTGAGGCTTGGGATATGTGGTCCAGGGTCGAGGGTTTGGAGACCCCCCCTTCAGATGGGATGGGCCCCAGGGTTCCACAGGCCCTCGCCACCGAGATGGGATTAGAGGG